TGGAGCTGCGGGACGGTGCCCACGCAGGGCAGAGACGAGCCCGCAGGCCACGCACACTCACAGCCTGGTCCCGCTCATGGCCCAGGGGCCACTGGCAGCATGGACACGCTCGGGGCGTGGACGCTGCCACAGCCCGGGCACACCCGCGGGCTGGACTCGCACACAGAGTGGACTCAGTGATCGCCCAGGCCCGCTGAGAGCCCACACACACCGCACACAGCCCGTCCTCACCGTGCCCACTCATTAGCCAGGCCCACTCGCGGCCCACGGTGGCTCACAGCTGGGAGCCACGGGCTGGTGTGGGTCACACACACAGCGTGGGCCCACTCACGGCCCTGGCCCACTCACATCCTGCTCACAGCCTGAGCCCACCCACAGTTCAAACCCCTCACAGCCCCGGCCCTCTCACAGCCAGATCCCACCCAAAACCCTGATCCACCCAAAACCCGGCCCTGTGCCATCCTGGCCCGTGTGCCATCCCCCTGTGGACGCCCTGCCTGGGGTCTCTGACACTGTGGCAGTGCTGGGCCGGGTTGTGGTGACACATCTTGGGGTGAAGCCCTGCCCCCTGCTTTCCCCTGCCCCCTTTTTCCCACCATGGCCAGGGTCCTGATCCACAGGGGAGAGCGTTCCCACTGGAGATCAGCGCTGGAGAATGGGTAATGACAGCCACCTTGGATAATCCATGGGATAAAAACATGTTTGCTCCAGTCATGTGGGGCTCTGCTACATGGGGAGAGACACTGGGAGTCATAAGACATCCCGCTTTCCTAAAAAATATATGGGTAAAGTGACACTGAGGGGAGGCTACAGCACTGCGAGAAATGAAAGTGTTTAATGGATCCAGTTTTCCTAAAGAGCCTCTGGATAAAGCGGTGCTGAGAGGATGCTGTGGCACTGGGAGAAAGAAAAGGGGTCTGATAAACAGACTGATCCCAATGGAAGCACTTTATCCTAGGTGGAGAGAGCCAGGCAGTGCTGATGCACAGATGAGCGCTGTGCCACATGTCCCTGGCCCTTCCCAAAGCCACCGTCCTGGCACAGGTGCTTTGGGACGGGTGGGGACGATCTCGGAGGACTCAGCCATCCAGTCCCTGTGCCCTGTGGTTTCCTTCTGAAACCTCACAGGAGCCCTGGGTGGCACTGGCACGTGCCAGTGTCCTCAGGGCAATGCTGTGGCTGTCCAGAGCCCATGGCCATGGTCTCACCCACGTTGGTGGTGACAAACTGGTTTGGGAATGCTGGTGGTGTTGATGCCCTTTTGGGGCAAGATCTCTGTCTTTATTGTGGGTTTAGCACTGCTCTGCAAATAACAGAGAATGGCATCGCCTGGATTTGTGTAGCACAAAATCCTTCTTTGTTTACAGCTTCCGAGAGCAGAAGAAATCTCCCCCTCTGATAAACAGAACCAGAAACACGCCCGGATCCTCTCAGCTTCCTCTGCAAAAATCAGATGCTGTCTCCTCGCTGGCACCCTCGGCCTCACACCCCGCAGCGCACGTGGCTCCAGAGTGAGAACAGCCTTTGTGCCCAGCCTTTGTTTACTGCCCTGGCCATCCCGAGGAGAGATCCCACAGACAAGGGCAGTTTATTCCTCTTCCCTGAGAAAGGCTCATTCATCCCCCCAAGGGGGCTCGCTGTCATCTCTGGAGAGCTCCACAGCGGGGCTCGGGGTTGTTTTTGCCCTAGTGCCAGTTTTGGGAGAGGGTTTGAGTAAAAAAGTGCAGAACGCAAGAGAATATTAAAGGAGTTTTGTTCCCAAGTTCATTTATTGCTGCCATGTTTTATCAATAATCTGGAGGTATCTGTGGGACATCACCCAAGCCAAGCACGCTCAGACCTGTGAATGAATGAGAGCAGATTCCCTGCTCATCCCCTTTTGAGTGATCCTACGGCATTTGGGCTGGATATATGCGTCCTCTAACTTGGAAAATAAATAATATTATCCCTTGAGTACAATCCCTGGGTTCTCATGGACAATATTGAACACAAGCCCAGACCTGAAGAAGTACTTTTGCACCTGGAAGATCCCCTGATTTCTCCAAATATATCAACAGTCCTAATAAAAACTGTTGCCTCTCCATACAAACCTTTGGACTCTTATCTGGTATTTTTCATAAACCTGGCACGTTCTCAGCCAGCCCAGCTCTGCCGATTTACAGTGACCCTGTTTTTGCCCCAAAACGAGCAAATACTGATTTATTTTTGTCAGAGCACCGGAGCCATAAATACATTTCCCAACGCAGATGATTTCCTTCCCCATCACAGGTCAGAACAGGATATTCATGATGCTGTAAATTCTTCAGAGTAGCAATCTGGCTGTAATATTTATCTGCAGTGAATCCAGCCCCCTTTTTGAGATCTGATGCATAAATCAACACCCTCACAACACCTAATTCCTCTGTTGCACAGCCCACAGCAGTGGGGTGAAGGTTTGGCAGTGAATGGTCCAAGTTAGAAGGTTCTGGTGGGCAGCACAGGCAGCTGAAGGTGTTACCTGGCTGGACATCACTAAATCACCTTTTCCCACCTCTGGTGCCTGCAGACACCCCTCAGTGAGAGGCTGGGGCAGCTGCTGTGTTGGGAAATCACAATGACCCAGAGGATGTGGGTCTGTTCTGCAGATGTCCCAGAAAAACCTAATAACCTCAATTCTGCCTGTGGGATTAAAAATACTTCTCTGCGTTCAAATGTGCCACTTTGTTAATTCCTGTGGCCTGGAAGAAGAGTCTTTCTCTTTGCATTTTCTTGCCTTCCCTGCTAGGTCTTGTCAATGCCTTGTGACACCATGAGGGAAGGCAGGAAATTCTCTGTGACTTGGAGGTTTGTGCTTGGGTGAGCTGCTGACTGCTCTGAAAATGGATCCAGGAATCCTCACCCCTCGCTTCCTGCGTGAGAGTGACCATCATGTGCCCCTCTCCTTGTGCCTTTTCCCTCCATGTCTGCTTGTTTGGAGCCAGGGAGATGCCCAGGGAAGGGGATGCCCAGCACGGGAGATGCGTGGTGCAGGTGTCCCAGCCTGTCCCCACACCAGGGGTTGTCACCACAGGTACACCAGCACACCTGCCACACCTCACAGCAACACTGACCCCACTGCTTGGTGTCAGCTGCTGGGTGGCAAAGCTGTGAAGACCAGGGGACACAGGGTGGCATTTTCCAGGGCTGGTGTGTGGGCTGGGATGGGTCCCATGCCTGGGATGCTGCCCCAGGGCTCCCTGGCTGGGTGCTCACCCCAAGTGCCACTGCCCAGGCAGCTGCTGCTTGGATTGTCCTGAGGAAGGAGCTGCCTGCCCAGGGCAGCACTTTTGTGACTCTTGCAGATATGTTGGTGGAAAAACGAGCTGAGGAAACCTTTGGCTTCAGTGTCCCCTTCCCTGAGGTTGCAGGACAGTGGTGCCCTCATGTCCTCCCTGCCTGACCCCTTACCAAGCCAAGCTGCCTGTCCCCACCACCCCAATGCTGTGGCACACTGGCCCCTGTCCCACCGTGCTGCCCTGAGCCTGGCTGTGTGACACAGCGAGGGACACATCCCAGGGGCTGTCCCCCCTTCCCCTGCACCTCCCCAGCCCCCCAGGGCACAGCCTTGGCCCCTCCACCCTGACACAAACCAGAGCTGGGAGGGTCACACCCAACTGATGTGGGTCCCCACAAGCAACAAAGTGAGCTCAGGGGTTCACCAACCTCCTCAAAACGTCCCAGAGCCAGAGGCTGCCTCACCTGGGGCAGGAGGTGCTGGAGGGGCCATGGCTGGTGGGGCTGATGATAGAACGAGGGTGCTTTGCTGGGAGTTTCCTTCCCCCTGTCTGTGGAGCTGCAGCGCTTTGTACCCAGCCTGGCCTTTCATCTCAGCCTTTCAAAGCATTTTCCAAGCCCAAATTAATTCTGCTGCAGCAGCTGCCCTCCCGTGCTGTTTAGCATAAGCTCTGTCTGGAAGCAGGGCTGCCCCTACCCCTCGAGGCTTCCAGGAATGATTTTTTTCCCTGGAACCACCTCAAGCTACGGAGGTGGGATGTGAGAGCATCACCCCGTGCCTCCCGCTCTTCCCTACCCCCAATATCCACTAAGAACTGCAGCAATGCCCATGCCATGGCACTCTCCTCTTGGAAAATCCCCTCTCAGCCTTCTTCCCTGCCCTCGGGGAGATGCTCCCACATCAGACCTATTCCTGTGTGAAGCCAGGGTGCTCTGGGATGTCCGGGTGTCACAGCTCGCCCTGGGTGCTGCTGGGGAGCCGGGGGGGACCTGGGATGCAGGATCCCAGCGGGAAGGTGGGCAGGGACCAGGCAGGCATGCTGCTTCCCTGCGGGACATTAATAATTAAGCAGGCTCGTCAGGCTCAGATGGCAGCTCTTATTTAAGGAGCCGATATAAATACCGCCCAGACGGCACTTACGGAGCACCTAAAAAAAGCCCTGCCTGTCTCGGTCCCTCCAGAAGCAGCTCTGAGCTCCGAGGGGCTGGTAGGCAGCACCAGGCAAGGTGGTCACCAGTGTCCTGTGGGGACAGCGCTGCCCTGGACTCTGAGCCTGAGAGGTGGCAGCATCTGGGGCCAATACTCGGGGCACAGCCCGTGCCTCAGTTTCCCTCTGCAGCAGGGATCTGCCTCAGCCTTTCTCCTGTGCAGTAGCTCAGCAGCAGGGGTGGATGCTCAGCTCTGTGTCCGTGGCATCGAGTCAGAGTTGGGGGGATCTCTGCCCACCCACCTCCCCACTCCACCCATGCCAGGGGAAAGCTGCCCCGTGTTCCAGTGGCTGCTCAGTGCCCTTTTGTGTTTGTGCTGGCAGCGAGTGATCCCTGGCCCTGCTGTCCCCCGTGGCACAGCTACCCATGGACCCCCCTCCTGCTCTGGGGTAGGGGACACTCATCCCCCAAGGGCAGCTCAGTCCTCCCCTCCCCCTGCCCAGGAACACCAGGACCCCCATCCTAGAGCAGCCCCATCCCTGTTGAAGGGCAGGGGGCTGGGGAGGAGCAAGCAGGGTTGGGAACTTGGACATAGCCATGACCAGGGCAGCAGCGGGACCCCCCAACCTGGGCATCAACCCCCATCATCATCGTGGCCCCCAGGAGGAGGCGAGGAGCCGGAGGCGGAGGGACAGGGCTGTCACAGCGAGCCGCTTGCTGCAGTCCTGCTCGCAGGCTCTGCAGCGTGACTCAGCACAGCCTCAGCGTTCCCAGCCCCACCGCCGCGGCTCTTCCCCCAGCCTGGGGGGAAACCACGCTCCTCACCTTCCCCCTGCCCTCCCACAGCCCCTGGAAGCCCAGAGCCGCCCCGTGGTCCCGCTCATCGCTGCCTGTCCCCACCCCAGGACCACCAGCGGCTCCTCCAGCCCCAGCACAGGCAGGGACCCCTCCTCCAGGGGTAAATCGAGGCTCCGAGCGATGGGGAGCAGGGTGGGGGTCTGTCTGCAGGCTCCCATCACCTCTGCTCTGCCCATGGATCCGTCTGGATTCGGCCCTTCCCTCCCAAAGCCCCATGTGGGATCAGGGGAGCTGAGCATCAGCACCTCTCCAGGCGTTGGGAGAAAGGATTTGGGGTGTTTTTACCTGGGGGATGGGACTGAAAGTGATGTCAGGTCACAGAGAAAAGTCTGGAGATTTTTAAAAGGGTTTTTTGAGCCTCACTTTTGGGGTGTTTGGAGCCTGCCAGGATCAGCTTATCCCAACATTTCTGTGCCCATCCCCTCTAGCCATGACCTGGAGGTTACCGGGAGGCGAGGAGCGTGGGCAGAGAACAGCGCTGGGCAGGGGGACCGAGAACCCCAGCTGTCCCCTCTGACTGTCCCCACATCCCCGGGCTCAAGGACACTGCATGGCACATCGCCACCCTCTCGTTGTGCTGTGGCTTGGGGACA